CTGATTCTGAAAAAGCCCCCCCCCCTCCTTTTTTTGCGAGGGGTGGGTGGGGGAGAACTTCTGCAAGGAAGGTTTGATAAAGCTCAAACTTCCTAGGGATGCAAAGGAAGGGACCAGATGAAATGCCTTTTGAGTAGATTTGTCCCTAATGGCACGCATGCACTACCTTGGCAGGTCGATCCGCAGAATACTTAATGAGAAGAAAATGAATTTGTCAATCTGAATGAATCAAGGGTTGGTCGAGACGGCCTGAGCCCAAAACCTCCACGCTTGAAGCCATGGATAATATTGATTCAGGATTTTTAACAGATAAACAAGAGTTGGAAGGGACCTCGTAGGTCATCTAGTCCAACCCCCTGCCCAAGCAGGAGAACCTACACCCCTGGTGGTGAACCTATGGCATGCGTGCCAGAGGTGGCACACAGAGCCCCTCTCGGTGGGCATGCGTGCTGTTGCCCCAGCCCAGCTCCATCGGGTTTCTTCAGGGAAAGAGAGGGGAAGAGAGAAAGGGAGAGAGGGAGGGAAAGAGAGACAGAGAGAGAAAGAGAGAGAGAAACAGAGAGAGAGAGAAAGAAAGAGGGGATGAAGAGAGAGAGGGAGGGGAAGAGAGAGGGGGGAAGAGAAAGAGGGAAAAGAGGGAGGGAGGGAAAGAGAAAGAGAGGGGAAGAGAGAGGGAGAGGGAGGGAAACGGAGGGGAAGAGAGGGAGGGGAAGAGGGAAGAGAGAGAAAAAGGGGGAAAGAGGGAGGGAGAGAAAAAGGGGAAGAGAGAAGAGAGGGAAAGAGAAAGAGGGAGGGGAAGAGAGAGGGAGAGGGAGGGAAACAGAGAGGGAAGGAAAGAGAAAGAGGGAGGGAAAAAGAAATGATATTACAAAAGTTTTTCTTTTTTATCGCTAAACGTAATATTTCAAAAGCATAAAAGTGGATTGATCACGTTTTTCTTAGAACAATTAGCTGAACTCTGCCTTGTTTATCATTATTTTAGGTAGTAAAACCTCAGTATTCAGGTTAACTTGCCGTGTTGGCACTTTGGTTTTGGGTTGAAGTTTGGGCACTCGGTCTCTAAAAGGTTCGCCATCACTGCCCTACACCATTTTTTTCAAAAAACAACATCTTTAATCTTCTTGAAGATTTGCTGCAATTTGGAATCCTCTCCTTGCTTTTCCCAAATGCAGAATATTTTAGAAGCATTTCTGCCACAACTGGAATTCTTGGGCCATTTTTTTCCCCCCAATCAGAAAATAGACTCTTAGTTTTATAGATTTGGGGGGGTGTTTTTTCCCATCTTGGTTTTTTTCCCCCTTTTACTGACCTCTGCGCCCCTCCGCCCCACTTTTTTTCTCCCTCCTGTCTTTAATTTATCAGACAAATCCTGGAGACTGACTGCGGTAAGTGTGTGCTGGGGGGAGAAATCCTTAATTAAAAAGACATTAAATGGAATTCAGTCCGTGTCGGCAAATACAGACAGAAGCTAAGGAGCAGAAGGGAGGCTGGGAGAAAAAAAGAGAAGCAAGCCACACACACACACACAAAAAATACTGTTAGAATTAGACAAAAATTCTGCAGGAGCCAAGAAAGAAAGAAAAAGAAAGAGAAAGGAAGGAAGGAAGGAAGGAAGGAAGGAAGGAAGGAAGAAAGAAAGAAAGAAAGAAAGAAAGAAAGAAAGAAAGAAAGAAAGAAAGAAAGAAAGAAAGAAAGAAAGAAAGCTCCTGTCAATGAAGATCTGGAATTTATTGAGATTGTAATTAATTACTGAAGAGGAAATTTAGATCAGTGTGTATGCGTCTCCACCAAGAGACGCATAGTGCAATAACTTGAATTCCTCTCTTCCTGCTCTGTTTTCTACCCCAAAACTGATAACAAAGCTGTTTTTCCTTAATATTACGGGCAGACTGTTCTTACAATCCATTTGTAAGATTTGTATACATCAGTGGAAGCTTTTTGAATGACAGAGGCCTTGATGGGACACAAAATTTTCTGTGTAGCAAATTTAACTTTTCTCCTAAAAGGTAAAGGTTCCCTTCACACATATGTGCTAGTCGTTCCCGACTCTAGGGGGCGATGCTCATTTCCGTTTCAAAGCCGAAGAGACAGCGCTGTCCGAAGACGTCTCCGTGGTCACGTGGCCGGCGTGACTCAACGCCAAAGGCGCACAGAACGCTGTTCCCTTCCCACCAAAGGTGGTCCCTGTTTTTCTACTTGCATTTTTTACCTGCTTTTGAACTGCTAGGTTGGCGGAAGCTGGGACAAGTCACGGGAGCTCACCCCATTACGCGGCAGTAGGGTTTCGAACCTCTGAACTGCCGACCTTTCGATCGACAAGCTCAGCGTCTTAGCCACTGAGCCACCGCATCCCCATATCATATAAATACTGCAACTTATTTATTACATTTTACGGCAGTTTTTTATTCATACTAACACATGCCAATAAAACAAACATATCTTTAATTTGATCGACCATTTACATTTTTATTCCTGTGAGTACCTGTCGTAGGCTAACCCCACCCCCACCCCCCAGTACACTGCTTTGCCTGGGGGCCCGTAATGCTGTTAAGACGGCCCCTGGAGCAACTCTTAGCAGGTTGAATCCGATGCCCGTGCCAAAAACAAGCCTGATCAAGTTGGCTTTTTAAAACAGGATGGAATTCGGAAAGTCAATGAAAGCCGTGGACTCTTTTCAAGATTACAGTATACAACCGCCCTCATTCTCAACCTCTTAACTGGGATCGGATGCAGCCAAGATAGGGCGACAGCTATGCTTGCTAGGAATGCTAGATTCCCCATATTTGGAAAATTGGGAAACAGATTCAGTTTTGGTCACCACGATGTAAAAAAGATGTGGGGGCTTTAGAAAGAGTGCAGAGAAGAGCAACGAAGAGGATTAGGGGACTGGAGGCTAAAACATATGAAGAACAGTTGCAGGAACTGGGTATGTCTAATCTGACGAAAAGAAGGACTGGGGAAACATGATAGCAGTCTTCCGATATCTCAGGGGCTGCCCCAAAGAAGAGGGAGTCAAGCTATTCTCCAAAGCACCTGAGGGCAGGACAAGAAGCAACGGGTGGAAACTAATCGAGGAGAGAAGCAACTTAGAACTAAGGAGGAATTTCCCGACAGTGAGAACAATTAATCCATGGAACAACTTGTCTCCAGAAGTTGTGAATGCTCCAACACTGGAAATTTTCAAGAAGATGTTGGATAACCATTTGTCTGAAGTGGTGTCAGGTTTCCTACCTAAGCAGGGGGTTGGACTAGAAGACCTCCGAGGTCTCTTCCAACACTTCTATTCCTATTCTATTCTATTCTATTCTATTCTATTCTATTCTATTCTATTCTATTCTATTCTATTCTATTCAGATGCTGCAAGCTTCACCGGTCCCTCTCTTGGGATATTAATGACTGGTGGCTACTAGCTTTCCAACAGATCCTTTCCCCTCCCTTGCAAGGTGAAGGAGAACAACCTGGATTTTTGCAGGGAGCTACTTTCGTGTTCATAAAATTACAGGGTTAGAAGGGGCCTTTGAGATCTTCTAGTCCAACCCACCCACATACACATACTTAAGGAGGAGATCCTATACCATTCTGTCCAATCTCTTCTTTAAAAACTTCCAGTGTTGGAGCAACCCACAACTTCTGAAGGCAAAGTCGTTCTACTGGTGAATGCTTCTCACTGTCAGGAAATTTCTCCTTAGAAATTCTTAGGTTGGATCTCTCTCTATAGTGATTTTCAACCTGTTACTTCTTGCAATGGGTTATTCAGGAGAAGGAACCAGCAGTTGAGAAGAGGGTGGGGGGGGTGTCTTTGCTCACTGGGCTAACAGTCTGAGAGCCAGATAACTTCCACAGAAAAGGGGTTTTCCTTGAGACTAAGATCCTTGTTCGAATCTGACTTCTGTTTAAGAAGAGCATTTTGCACAAAGATAGTAACAAAAAATTTAGAATGTGCCGAAATGAACAAACTGAACATTTGAAATGAAGGAAAAGGAAGACACTGAATGTTTCGAGGTATGGGATCTGTTCTAGCGATGGTTACGTAAGAGAAACAGGAGACAGAACTTCAAAAAGCATAAGAGAAAGACTAATCTTATTATTAGGATTGTTTACCGTAACATTGATTAATTTTGATTAGTATTAACAATTAATCTGTATTGATGTTACGAGGGAATTACCCATGTTAGTGTGAGATTACGATTAGAGAATACTATCATCATTACTGTGATGCTTATTGCTCAAAAGAACTGTAACCAGACAACACACGGTCTATATGAATTTTGAATATGTTGCTCTTGTTTATTTATATTAATATATATATATAAAGAGTATTTTGCAAAGGCAAACATTATCTTTTCCTTGTCATAGCATCACCATCAACATCATGTCTGTCAACAGCCAGCATTCTTTCTCTTCACAACGAAACAAAGCCAACGAAGGAACTCCCCGACACTTGAGGAAGTGAACAGGTTGGCTGTCTTTGAATCTCTACCCTCCCCCACCTTTCCTTAACAATTTGGGTGTACAGGCAACAATGCCCTTTGGGTAGGACTTAGTGGGTCAAGTCCCCTTTAGCATTATGTGTCTGAAGCATCCATTGCATCGAAGCTACCTTGTGATGCTTGTCATCCAACGAAGGACCACATATCCCATGCTGGCAGAGCGATTAAGGGGTTGGGCAAAGACGGAGGAACTCCAGGTTCTGTCCTGTCCCTTATCTATGAAGCTTCCTGGCTGACTTTGGACCAGTCACTCTCTCAGCTCAACCTACCTCACTGCTCCTGCAGTGAAAAATAAGAGAATGGAAACACTATGTAAATAGATCTCCTTGAGGTCATTGGATGAAAGGCAGAATAGAAACCTACGGGGAGCCATCAAATCTAGCACGGTGTGATGACTTAACTGACGACAGACGATGCCTCTGAGAACAGACAGAGTGCAAACCTCCCCTATCCACTAGGCTTCTCTCTCTATCCTCACCCAGAAAGTTCGGTTTGCTGTATAATACTTACCCGGGAGTGACACTGGAATCCGAAATAGACCACGACGATGGCGGGCAAAAGGACCACTGAAAAGATGGCAGCCATCAGAAGGAAGTTCAGGAGAAAAGCCAAAGAGTTCATTGCCCCCACCAAGCAAGTCCAGGCCCAACAGCCACAGGTGCTACGGCGCTCCATGGGCAGGAGCTGGTCCTCCATGTTGTAAGGTGGGAGAGTTTGGATGGTGTGGGACGTGTCGGAGAAGTTGTCCCCTTCGTAGTCGTCAATCTCCTGATCGGACATCTTCAGGAAGATCAAACCGGGCGTCTCAATTCCTTAATTTCCTCCTCTCCCTTTTCTGTCCATTCAAAATGGAGCACCTCAAGTTAGGGGAGAAGATAGTGGCCGAGGTGGGTTTTTCCCAAAGTGGTGCCCACTTCCAGGAAACAGGAGATTGAATGGAGGTGGCCTTGGGAGCATAAGACAGAAGTTCTTACATGTCCTTTCGGGGATCAGGTGGTTGCCTCACCTGAACTGGTGGGACGAGATGGAGAAGACCTTCCAAGAGATGGGATGAAGTTTTCCTAGAGGGTGGACAGTTCTCCAGCTTTGCCTACTGGAATTCTTGGTGCGAGAAGAGCTTGCCGGTGTGAAATTTGGAAAGGAAGGGGCCAAACACACACGCCATCTTCTGCTTCCACCTTGTGGGTTTGAGTTTCCAGCGAGATATTCAATTTTCCAGAAGTTCTACACCGGTCGCACCGGTCCTTCCCTCGGCACTCCTCAAGTCTCCACGGCAGTTTGCGCTGGATTCATCCCCTGATTATTTGGGCAGGGTTCGGTCCTTCAACTTTTCACTTCTCCCCCCTCCTTCTCTTTCGTGATGTCCCGGATGCAAGGAAGGCTCCCTCCCTGCCTGAGCCGAAGGCTCCTTTCCCTCTTCTGAGCCGGCTCTGATCTCAGTGCTGCCGCTTAGAAGCAGCTGCACCGAATTTTCTCCTGCAGGCATCCAATCCTTTGCTGCTGCTGCTGCTGCTGCTTTTCTCCACCCCCTTCGAGTCGCTTACTACGTACCCGTTTCCATCCAGCCAGGCCCACTGCTGATCTTTTCCTTGGTGTGTTGCTGCTCTGCTGCTCCCTTTTGATGGAGGGAACCGGACCAGCAGGCTGAGGAAGGGTGGCAGGCAGAGGACAGTGAGAGAGGGGGGGGGAAAGGAGATTAATGAGAAGGGATGAGAAGGAATAGAATAGAATAGAATAGAATAGAATAGAATAGAATAGAATAGAATAGAATAGAATAGAATGGATTAGGAATAGGAATAGGAATAGGAATAGGAATAGGAATAGGAATAGGAATAGGAATAGGAATAGGAATAGGAAAGTAGAGTAGAGTAGAGTAGAATAGAATAGAATAGAATAGAATAGAATAGAATAGAATAGAATGGATTAGGAATAGGAATAGGAATAGGAATAGGAATAGGAATAGGAATAGGAATAGGAATAGGAATAGGAATAGGAATGGGAAAGTAGAGTAGAGTAGATAGAATAGAATAGAATAGAATAGAATAGAATAGAATAGAATAGAATAGAATAGAATAGAATAGGACTAAGACTATAGAGTAGAGTGGAGTGGAGTGGAGTGGAGTAGAATAGAATAAGGATTAGGAATAGGAATAGGAGTAGGAGTAGGAATAGGAATTAGGAATAGGACTATACAGTAGAGTAGAGTAGAGTAGAGTAGAGTAGAGTAGAGTAGAGTAGGAGCGAATAGAATACAGAATGAATAGAATAGAAGAATAGAATAGAATAGAATAGAATAGAATAGAACAGGAGTAGAGTAGAGTAGAGTAGAAGAGAATAGAATAGAATAGAATAGAATAGAATAGAATAGAATACAGAATGAACAGAATAGGATAGGATAGGATAGGATAGGATAGGATAGGATAGGATAGGATAGGACTAGGACTAGGACTAGGACTATAGAGTAGAGTGGAGTGGAGTGGAGTGGAGTAGAATAGAATAAGGATTAGGAATAGGAATAGGAGTAGGAATAGGAATAGGAATTAGGAATAGGACTATACAGTAGAGTAGAGTAGAGTAGAACAGAACAGAACAGAACAGAATTGAATTGAATTGAATTCTTTATTGGCCAAGTGTGATTGGACACACAAGGAATTTGTCTTTGGTGCATATGCTCTCAGCGTACATAAAAGAAAAGATACGTTCATCAAGACTCATCAGGTACAATACTTAATGATAGTCATAGGGTACAAATAAGCAATCAGAAAACAATCAATATAAATCATAAAGATACAAGCAACAAAGGTACAGTCATACAGTCATAAGTGGAAGGAGATGGGTGATGGGAACGATGAGAAGATTAATAGTAGTGCAGATTTAGTGAATAGTTTGACAGTTTGTGGGAATTATTTGTTTAGCAGAGCGATGGCGTTCGGGAAAAAACTGTCCTTGTGTCTAGTTGTTCTGGTGTGCATTGCCCTATAGTGTCGTTTTGAGGGTAGGAGTTGAGACAGTTGATGTCCAGGATGTGAGGGGTCTGTAGATATTTTCCCAGCCCTCTTTTTGCCTCGTGCAGTAGACAGGTCCTCCATGGAAGGCAGGTTGGTAGCCATGGTTTTTTCCGCAGTTCTAATTACCCTCTGAAGTCTGTGTCTGTCTTGTTGGGTTGCAGAACTAAACCAGACAGTTATGGAGGTGCAGATGACAGACTCAATAATTCCTCTGCAGAACTGGATCAGCAGCTTTTTGGATCATACAAGATGCCCAGTTCTACTTTTGCCTCTGACTTGCAACTTTTTTTTTTTTTGTATTCCAGATTTATTTCTGGCACAAGCCACCCCATTGCAGTAACTCTGGGAGATTTGCAAAAATGTAGGCATCTCTTGACACCAGCTAAAGTGAATTAAGGCGCCGGATCCATCTCTGAAGTCAACTTTTCAGAAGTTTTTTCAGAAGTGTTCATGGAAGTAAAAAGGGGAAGAAATCCAACTACAGGTAATCCTCAATTTACAAGACTTCATTTAGTGACCAAAGTTGTAAAGACGTTGAGGGAAAAAAAGGACTGTTTTTCAAACTCACAACTGTTGCAACATCCCCAGGGTGGCGTGATCAGAATCCGGATGTTTGGCCCCTGATTCATATTTATTCACGTGGCAACTAAGAGGCATAAAAAAACAGGGAAAGCCTCTTTCTTAATGGAATGGAAGCTGCTGAGAAGGTTGGAGGTTTGGTGGCCAGGAAGGCTGGAGAGCTTCAAGGGCAATTGTCTCAAAAGGATTCCATGCCACCAGCTTCCAACTCACGGTTCTGCAGAATCTCCCTCACCTTTCTCCTTCATCCCACATCTCAAAGTTGTTTCTCCTCCGCATCAAGCCGATGTTGTGAAGCTGATAATTGGCGACGGGAGGAGATGGAGAAAGGCAGCGTGTAAAAATAAAAGGAAGTGCCAGAAGTCATCTTAAAAATAGACACTTCAGCTGGCAGCGTCAAGTGTTCCCCCCCCAGAGTGGCACGAGGAGAACGATAAAATACAGTTAGTTCTTTGGCAGAAAATTGGAGAGGCTGTAATGATTCCCTGGGCACTTCGGAGGAAGGAAGTGGCGTGAGCACTCGCTCACACAATTGCGTTTTGGTGAGTGTGAATATGTCTAACCTTGTCCCGAGGAAGCATGCCCAAGGGATCAAGATCAAAATATTTATCAACCTACTCAAAAGAAACATCTGTCACTCCCAACGAAAAAAGACTCCAAGGCTTGACTTTCCTCAAAGTTCCATTTTATTAGAGACGTCACATCTGAGAAAACCCGAATCTGAAAGCTTTCAGGTTTCCCCCAAACCAAAAGAAAGTTCAAGTCCCTCCCCAGCATCCACATGTCCATCACATGATCCAATCAGGCACCATCCAAAACTGATAATGCCTCCCAGTCACCGCATCGCAGCTGCAGGGCACTGTGGCCTTGACTCTCTGAGAAAAGAATGTTATTTTGACTACATATCACCCATATTCTATACAATCCCCTCCTCCCATTTTCCCACAGTAGAAAATGTGGCAGGCCTGAAGGCCCAACTGTAAAAGATGGCTTCCAGGTCTGACACACACACACACACCCCATATCAGAGGAAGGGAGTGAAACGAGTTTGGGGATACCCAGTAGCGTGCAAAATGTGTAAGCCAACTTGGCCTGATATCTGTCCATAGCACCTAGAACCGGTCAAGCACAGGGCATTTATTGGCTCTAAAATAAATATGTAAGTTCTGTTTTGGGGAGTTCCTAGAGGTCTCGTCTTGCAGGACCGCAGAATCAAGTCGATTCTTCTAAGCCAGACCTGGGGAAAATGCGTCTGGGCTGCTGTCGCTCTCCTTGGTGCTGAACCTGAGTTCCTGTTGATTTCTCCAAAAGCTTATCAACACTGTCAGAATAGAACTGGAAGGGACCTTGGAGGTCTTCTAGTCCAACCCCCTTCTCAAGCAGGAAACCCTATATCATTTCAGACAAGTGGCTCTCCACTCTCTTCTTAAATACCTCCAGGGATGGATCACCCACAACTTCTGGTGGCAAGCTGTCCCACTGGTCAATTGTCCTCAGTGTTAGGAAGTTTCTCCTTAATTCCAGGTTGCTTCTCTCCTTTATTGGTTCGATTTATTTATTGGTTCGATTTATATGCCGCCCTTCTCCGGGAATTTAGTCCGGAGACTCAGGGCGGCTTACAATGCGTTAAGCAATAGCCTTCATACTTTTGTATATACCTGCTTAGTAGGGCTTTCGGGCCTCCCCTAAGCGGTGTTCTTTTTTATACAAAGTCAGCTTATTGCCCCCCACAATCCGGGTCCTCGTTTTACCTGCCTCGGAAGGATGGAAGGCTGAGTCAACCTTGAGCCTGGTGAGATTCGCACTTGCAGTAATTGCAGGCAGCTGGTGCTACTTAATAGCACTTTAGTCTGCTGCGCCACCAAGGCTCCTTGCTTAGTTTCCATCCGTCGTTTCTTATCCTGCCCTCTGGTGCTTTGGAAAATAAGTTGACCTTCTCTTTTTTGTGGCAGCCCCTCAAATATACTTAAATTTAAAAAATGTTAAAAAATATACTGATAAACTGGATTGGGAGCCTCAGTTCGGTGCTTTTAAGGACTGCAGACAATGCCGCCTTCTTCGTGACCAGCATTAAAGTCAGATTCAGCTGCCAACCAGGTTAATTTTTAAACATGAAATAGTAGCGAGAAGGTATTACTTTCCCCCCCCCCCGGGAGCCAAAAAAATATTGGGAATTGCAGCTTTCGAATTCCCCCCTTTCCCTCTGATGAATATTTAAACCTATTTACGGCTCTTTTCCCAGCTTTGAAATAATTCACTCCTTTCCTTTCTCAGACGTAGCACCCCCCCCCCCCCCCCCCATCTTAGCCACCGAAAGAAAAGTTGCATGTCTGATTTTTATCCTCAGCCATTGCACTTAAAATAGCCCGGCATAATTGCATAAAACCCAGATGGCGTCCAGGGTGCAAACAATCATGACGGATTGCACAGAATGTTCTCCGGAGATACGTAGTGTTTGTGCCTCACAATTGCTCTTTCTTTCGCCTTTCTCCTTCCCCCATCCTCACCGCTCTCAGGACTATCATTCCGGACAAATGGCTGTCCAGTCTCTTCTTGAAAACCTCCAGCATTGGAGCATCTTCTGGAGGCGAGCTGTTCCACTGATTAATTGTTCTAACTGTCAGAAAAATTCTCCTTCCTTCCAGGTTGAATCTCTCCTTGATTAGTTCCCACCCATCGCTTCTTGTTGCCAGGGCTCCAAGTAACATCCCCAACGAAAGAAAACTCCGAGGCTTAAGTTCCCTCAAAGTTCCATTTTATTAGACGTGTCATATCGGCGCATCTGGGAAAACCCGAATCCGAAAGCTTCCAGCTTTTCCCCACCCAAAGGCAAGTTCAAGTCCCCGCCCAGCCCCCACATGTCCATCACGTGTCCCAATCCAAGCACCGTCTCAATTGGAGATGCCTCCCAGTTTCATCTGTCCAGGGACAGGGCAAGATGTCCTTGACTCTCTGAGAAAGGAATGTTGTTTTGACTGTATTATCACCCATGCTCCATACAGTCCCCCCTCCCAATTTCCCACAGGGGTAAATGTGGCAGGCCTGAAGGTCCAATGCAAAAGATGGCTTCCAGGCCTGACAGGCCGCCCCCTCCCCCCATCGGAAAACCATGTCCTGAAACAAGAGTAGCATAGTGGTTAATTCATCATATTAACCATCTCTCCCTCCCCTTTGGCTTATCGGGAAACTTTTCGTGGAATTGTTTTACTAGCTTATTAGCTTTAACATTCCACCTTCCAGGAATTGACATTTGTCCTGCCCTCAGGTGCTTTGGAGAAGAGGCTGACTCTCTCATTGTTGTGACAGCCCCTCAAATACTGAAAAACTGCTATCATATCACCCCCTAATCCTTCTCTTCGTTAGGGCAGAATATACTCAGTTCCCTCGATCGTTCATCGTCCAGTTCAGCCTCTAGACACATGGGTTTCCAACCTTGGCGACTTTAAGACTTGTGGACTTCAACTCCCAGAATTCCTCAGCCAGCTTTGCTGTGCTGACTGAGGGATTCTGGGAGTTGAAGTCCACAAGTCTTAAAGTCGCCAAGGTTGGAGACCCCTGCTCTAGACCAGTGGTGAAATCCAATTTTTTTTTAACTACCAGTTCTGTGGGCGTGGCTTGGTGGGTGTGGCAGGGGGAGGATACTGCAAAATCCCCATTCCCTCCCCACACCTGGGGGAAGGATATTGCAAAATCTCCATTCCCACCCCACTCTGGGGCCAGCCTGTTCTCCAAACCACTCAAAATTTCCGCTACCAGTTCTCCGAACTGCTCAAAATTTCCGCTACCGGTTCTCCAGAACCTGTCAGAACTTGCTGGATTTCACCCCTGCTCTAGACCCCTTATCGTCTTTGTTGCTCTTCTCTGCACTCTTTCTAGAGTCTCACCTTCTCACCAAAGGGGGTCCCTATTTTTCTACTTGCATTTTTTTACCTGCTTTCGAACTGCTAGGTTGGCAGAAGCTGGGAAAAGTCATTGGAGCTCACCCTGTTACATGGCACTAGGGATTCGAACCGCTGAACTGTCGACCTTTCGATCGACAAGCTCAGCGTCTTAGCCCCTGAGCCACCTCTAGTCTAGGTCATCATGTTTGTTTTCCATAAAACAGAAAAACTACATAAATATGATAGTTGTATTTTTTTTTCTGGCTTATGGTTTGATATCGCTTCCTTCTGCTCTGAATTTAGCATCTGATATACGCTAACTTTTTTGGGGAGTGGGGGTGGGGGGAGATTGGGGGGAGTGACTCAGTGGTGAAATGTAAAATTTGTTACTACCGGTTCTGTGGGCGTGGCTTGGTTGGGGGGCGGTAATATGACTGAGTGGGTGTGACCAGTTTTTTTTTTTTACTTTTAAAACCATTTTTTCTACAACCTCTTCGGCTGAAGAGGTTGTAAAAAAAATGTTTTTAAAGCCTCTGACGATCCCAGCTGACTTGCCTGATCGACAGAGGCTTTCTTTTTTTAAAAAAAAAAACCTCTGATGATCCCAGCTGAGCCACGCGATCATCAGAAGCTTTTTTTTTTTTTACTTTTAAAAGCATTTTTTTTTGGCCAAATAGGTTGTAGAAAAAATGCTTTTAAAAATAATTTTAAAAAGCCTCTGATGATTGCTCGGCTCAGCTGGGCAATTGGGGGGGGAGCAGGGATTTTTGCTACCGGTTCTCCGAACCACCCGCCTCCATCGCTACCGGATCGGGCGATCCGGTCTGAACCGGGAGCATTTCACCCCTGGAGTGACCAAACTGGATGCAGTATTCCACGTGCTCCGATTTATTGCGAGTTTCATCTCTGAGCAACGGCTTTCTGGATTTTTAACTTTTAATTGGTAAAGAAATGAGGCATAAGGCTCAACAGAGTTGAGGGGGGGGCCCAAAGAACCTTACCGTACAACAGTTGTGGCTTTTAT